TTCTAACATTATGAGTTTCAAATAATTATTTTTTTCGTTAATTATTGTTACTTTGAAAAAAAAATTAAACTTAATATATTATATTTGAGAACGTTTTGTCAATATTTAAAAGTTTAATAAAAATTTGTTAAAATAAAACAACTGATGTTAGGATTAAAAGATTAAAAAAATATTTTATAAAACTAAAAGATTAAAATAAAATATTATGTATAGTTAAAGGATTAAATATATACTTTAACCTTATTATTTATTTAAAGTTAAAGTACATTTTTTGTCCTCTAATTTTACATCAGATTTTATTTTAATCTCTTAATTTTATAAAGTATATTTTTAATCCTTTAACTCTAATACTGTTAATTTTATATGATTATTTTTTGTACCAATCATTATTATTTAAAAAATTTAAAATTAGGAAATTAATATTTAAAAATATTTTATCAATATTTAAAAGTTCAATATAATTTTTTTTGTGATGAAACTAATGGTGCTAGAATTAAATAATTAAAAATATAATTTTTAAAATTAAGGGACCAAAAAAAATCTTATATAAAAGTAAATGTCTAAAAGTATAATTTAGTATTTATTTAATAATATGTTCATCATAGTATTAATATTTAATACTAAATTTTTAAAATAATTATTTTCTTTTGATTGGCTGTGAACCATGTTGACCAGTCAAGGGCTGCAAAAGGGGAGATCAAATGACAAATGTGTCATTTTATAAAAAATTAATACAAATAAGTCTAAACAGATTTGAAAGTATTTTCATAAATTTGCAGAATTCATTTAAAAATTTTAATGAATTCAATTTAAGAAAAATAGACAAATGTGTTTATAAAATATTAATGGCGAAGATGTTAAGAGAAAGGGTATGAAAAATTAATTATAAACTTTTAACTTCATTTTTTATTATTTTCAAATCAAACTAATTACAATTTTTCCTTTCTCTCATTTCTTCTATTTCCTTCCAATCAAATGAAAGGATAAAAGGTAAAATCTTTATATATATATATATATATATTATAAACAAAATCTTTATATCTTCCCTTACCCTTTTTTTTTTTTTGGGTAGTACCCTTGTCCAATTTAACAAAACAAGAAATTGCTAAAGTTCCTCCCATCTTTTTAATGAAGTCAACAGACCCATGCGGATACCAAGCATACATAAGTTGTAAAAATAAAGTGATGTCTGTATAATCTTAATACAATTTTGGAAAAAACAGAAAAAAAAAACTTTGGAAATATTACAAATAGATCTTGTACAACAAACTTATTTATAAATAATTCTTGTGAAATTATGAAATTATAGTCAATTTTTTTGGAATTTGAGAGTAACTTGTGGTTAGGATGCAAAAATAATATTGCCTTTATTAATTTAGCTTTCACTTAAAACTGCGACTTTAAAATTTATAAGTAAAAATTCATAATTTATAAATTAAATTTTTTGTTTAACGCTTGATATAACATTGAATCTTCTTGAAATTAATTCTGCTTACTTAAAGCTATATAATTATAAAGTGAATTACAAATTTTACATTCCAATTAGACTAATTATAATCTTAAGTAAGTATAATTAACTTCATGAACACTTTATGTTACATTATATCACTCTAAATTACAGATTTTAACTTGTAAATTGTGAAATTGTAATTGTAAGTGAAAGTTAAATTAATAACAACAGTGTAATTTTTACACCTTAACCTTAAATTACACTCAAATTTTAAAGGTCTTAGTTATAGGATTTATTTGTAAATAAATTTTTTGTATGTGACCTAAATGTATTTTTTCCGCTTATGTTTATTTTTTGTAGTTATTTTTTTTAAATTACACCTTTATTCATTTAACTTAACAGATTTTATTTTAATATTTTAATTTTATAAAATGTCTTTTCAATGATTTAACCTTAAGACCATTAATGAAACAAAAATCTTTACATTGAATTTTTAGTAAATATTGACAACCTTTTTTTTTTTGAATTATTTGACAAAACATCTTTACGTGTTAACGTATTAAGGTTTTTTTTATATATATCATTAATCAAATTCGAGTATTATTGAGCCTAATTATTAGGGAAAATAATAATGATTGATATAAAATAATAATCATTCAAAATTAATAATGGTAATATTAGAAAACTGAGAAGATAAAATTAGAAGACAAAAAAAAAAAAACAGTTAGAAAAAAATGGGTATCAAATTGGAGAGTCAGATTTTTGTTTAAAAAGAAAAAGGGGGACAAAACACTGATAACAATTCTACAAGCAGCTAGCCAAGGCACACGCCCTGTCTCTGATCATTTCCACGTAGAACTTATTGATGAGTTTCCTTTATGGGGGATGTTGACGCGCAGCTTCTGTGCATTCTCAGTTAGTCACATCCTGAACCAACACACAGGCCATCTCTCACTCGTTCTCTGTACTTCAAAAATCAAAAGAAAGACTACAAGCACATTCAAATCTTTCCTCACTCTGTAGCACTTGCACAGTTCACACCAGTCAGGACCTTTCTTTTCCCCCATTTCATAAAAATCACTAATTTCCAACTCAATTGAAACAACCTGTCCCGAACTTGAATTCCATGTGTGTCATCTTCATTGGCTTGATTGCTTTGCCTTTCCGTGGCTAAAATTTCAACTGGCCCATTATATACATATCTCTGTGACACATGTATCAGAAGAATAATAATAAGTCATCAGGTCCACAAAGATTACTTGGGTGCTTAAAGATCTTATCTTTGATACTTTCTACTTTAAGATAAGGTGTATGAGCTTTTCCATGACAGTCTCTTCACAACAGTGAGACATTATTTGACAAGCTTATAAGTCACATGCTTGAGACATGGCTCAAAAGGGGGATAACATTAGAGCTCACGTGAAGTTCTCGTTTACTTGGGAGGGGTTAATCACAAAGGATTAGCAAGAGAACAAGCAACATCCTTGTCTGTTTCCGTTTGAAACTCTTAAATAAGTCAAGGTCACTCAAGTGGGATAAGATAATGATGTGAGGTTTAAGGACTGTTTAAGATAAGGTTGGTGTTTTGTACTTGCAAAATCACTTTTAAGAGTTGCGACAATCAGCAATGGCCGGCATGATTTGACAAAAACACTATGTCTGAGTTGAATTTGGAAAGAGAGAGCACATGAGGTTGATGTGAAACTCATGTACATGTGGAGCCTTAAGAAGATCCTAGATCAATATATATATATATTCATTATATAGATTTGTGCCTGAATTGAAGCAACAAGCTTTAGGATTTAGGTAGTATACTGCAATTAGAGAGAGAGAGAGAGAGAGTCATGGGAAAAAAAGGCATGAGATTTGCCAAGTGGAGGAAGATGATAAGGCAACAAAGAGGGAAGCTTTATATCATGAGGGTGTGTATCACTATGCTTCTTAATTGGCACAAGTATTCCCAGTCTTAACTAGGAGCAGTCACTTGCAAGTATTCTCACTCTCAAGGTGTCACCTTTTTATTGCTAGCTACATCTTCGAGTTATTTTTCTATTTGATTTTGTACACCAGCTTGTATATTCACAGTTTTGCAATGTAATTGGGATTTGAAAAGAAAAAAGAAGAAAACCCCATAAATGTTATCAGATCTCTCTCTCTCTCTCTCTCTCTCTGCGCGCGCGCGCGCGCGCTCCTGTTGTTTCTGTTGACTCAATATTTTCAAACATGTCTAAATAAAAAATAACAATAATAGTATTAAAAAAAAATCAGTTTAATGAGATTCCTTGCATGTATGTGTGTTCTGATTTTGAAATTGAGCTCTCTGAAGCTAAACCAGTGTACTTTCTACATAACATAAAGCTAATAAGAACTTGAAGACAGATTACGTGGTTGTGAACGCTTCATGATTTAAAAAAATGGTATAAACCTGAGTGAATCCATACAAAAACATCCTGAAATTCGGGGACCCATATGCGTGTTTTAGGGAATATATTACATGGATAGGGTGAGAAGGGGAAATAACATACCACGACCTATATTAGCTCAAAAGAGACAGGATTGGCTAACATAGCTGTCAGGATGAGTCTTAGCAAGTCCTTTTATAGTTGATTTGTCAGGAAAGCAATTGTGATTGGAACATCTTTGTCATCTTCGATCCTTCCCAGTGGCCAACCCCAGTTATCACTACAAACATTTTCTCCATGCCCTTCTTCTCTGTGTGTGCATCAGTGTTTCAATATACATACAAATATATATATATATATATATATATAACAGTTTGTTGGGGGCATATAGATTATACAGATATATATATATATATAGTCATGCCAAGACATAGGTTAACAGTGAGAAATCAGAAGCCTCAGTTATGGCAAAGATGTTCAAAGCACTTCCGGGAGCAGAAAACCAGGTTTTGCATCATTTGGAGATGCATAGTGACGCTTGTACGGTGGAGGGAGAAATTTTGACGGAAGAGGTAAGAGGGAACAAGAGAAGAGTATAGAAGGATTAAACAAGAAGATTCACACAAGTTATTCTCCAGCATGTGGCTCTGGTACCGAACATCCTCACCTCACTAGCTTGTCTTTTAGCTTTTACTTTGGATTGTTTCTTAGCTTAGGGTAAGATGTATTGGTGGTTGTGGAGGAACCTAGGATGGCTTTAATTGCCAGAAGTATGTACAGTAGGATTTATGTTCTTAATCTTATATGGAAGTTTAGCCTGTTCATGTAAATTTACCTTCTAGAAATATATTTGTCACATAGATTAGCAGCTGTAAGAAAAGGTTGTTGGTGAGAAATAAGAAACCATTCTAAGGCTTTGCCTTCCTCTGTATTCAACAAACAAAGAAAGAAACCATTCCAATAACAGTCAAATATCTCTTTCTGCAATTTTTTTAGCTCTTAAGAACCGGGTTCACCGTTCACGGCTACCAGAACAGATTGGGGGGGGGGGGGTTGATAGATAAATTACCTTGAGTTTTCCATTAACATGGTACAAGAGTGAAAAGCTAGGAAATTACAACTGTTTTCATGTTTTCCTTTTACCTCGTTATGTATTTATTTACAGGAAATTAATCAGATTGTTAGGTTACATCTATTGCCAAAGTGTGATTCCTTTCGCAGTTAAAGTTGCCCAAAAGGTTGTGCTCTGGTAATAATATATATACATACACATGAATTTATTCCCTTCCAAAAAGAAGATTAAAAAAATAATCAAATCATCCTTTTTTTTTTTTAACATAATGTTACTGACCCAAAAAGCACCCCAAAAAAAAATGATGATAATCCGACCAAACCTCACTAATTTGGAAAAAATTCATTTCATCTCTTATTCTCAAGAGGCTCAACAGAGCTCCCTTGGAAACTTGTAATGTTATTTTCATCTTCAGTAGATTTTCTTGGGGTACTCCCTTGCTTGATTTGGCCTCCCTGGATGATCAAAAAACAGATTGTTGATTCCACAATTTATACCAGCCGCAGACTTGTAAATAGAAATTAATTAGGGTCAGATGAGAAAGAATGTAATGCTGAATTATTTGTTAATACTTTGAGTTGTTTCAGCTAAAAGAATGAATACGATTCCCAGCTTTGAGCCACTGTGACAGGGAAGAATGAAACAGAAAAAGGGGGTAGAAAACAGAATTAACCTCCTGGATCTTATTCATCGGTCAATTTTCCTTCCACATTTATCAATACTAAGTTATTAACAACCAAGTCATGTTATAAAATCAATAAGACTAGCTCAAATGATAAGAGGATGGAATGGGATGTGAGTATAGATCTAGGTTTTAGCCTTGCCGATGTACCCAAAAAAAAAAAAAAAGTAATAATTATAACGACTAATAGCTAACTTTATGCTAATTTGCCAAACAAAGTACAATAGAGAAGAAACACATGGACACCATTAAAAATTTAAAAGAAATCACTTACTGCTCCCTTCAGGGCAGTCAATCTCCGGATAGATGGACAGCGTGCCATTGAGGAAGCAGCAGCTGCGGCAGCTACACGTATTCTGGACAATAAAATTTCCATAGCTTTATTGTAACAAATCATAAAGCATTTAATTCAGAGTTTTCAGCAGTTTATTACATCTTTGTGACACTTAAAGTTTGAGCTCTTTATTACCTCTTGTGCACATCAACATATTCATCCGTTTCATCTACAATCTCTTCCTGCATTGTTGGATTATAGTCAGTCTTTTGGGAGGAAAAGGGATGACAACACGAGGATATGAAAGAAAAGAAATGAGAACGATCTGTGAATTACCTGCAGAAGTTCCTCAAATACATCTTCCAGTGTGATAATACCTATCACTTCATGTTCAACATCCATTGAAAATAGATCATTTGTTGGGGCCTTACTCGAAGAAGTTTGATTGATATAGGAAGGATTTGAATGGTGGTCAATGTCTACAACAACACTTTCTGACTTCTGCTTCATTAGCAAAGGAGTGGTCAGCTGTGAATCCCCAACATTACTCTTGTCTTCTTCATTTATCTGCCCCTCAACTGTTGCTGGAGTCATCTTGCCTTTTCCTTGAACTTTTATAACAGCAGCCATATGACTGCTACCTTTTTGGAATTCATTCAGTATATCATAAAGAGGCATATCTGATGGAACTCTGTAAATACATTTACACACAAACTCGTGATATTTCACAATTATTTTCCTAGAAAAGGGAATAACGAGAAATTTATGCTGAAAAGCACACCGTGGAACTCTTCGGATGGAAACAGCACTAACAGGGGTGTCTGTTTCTGGTCTAACAGTGAGAAGACTTTTGACCTAATTTATAAACAAATTCAGCAGGGCAAGAGAGAATCCAAAAAGTAACAGGAGGGAAAGAAAGAAAATTAAGTCAAAATCTGCAACATGCGACACTCGCCAGCAGAAGCCCAATGATATTCTTCGGATGTCCAGAGTAGACTGGAACTCGGCTGTGTCCACGAGCAAGAATTTTTCCCATTACCTCCCTGCTAGTTTAGACGGCACCATAAGAATTTCGATAATGAATATAACTAAGAGACAAATAGAATTTGAACACATATACATTTTGGAAGGAAGAAACTCTGCTCCATATATCAGTGATGTTTTGACATGCCAGCTTTGTGAGAATGGCTTCAGATATTTTCCACATGTTCCAGTACAAGGTGCAGTTGAAAATATCGTGCCAGAAACAAAACAATCCTTAAAGAGGAAGCAATGATGCCTCTTCAAAATGATGGGGAAAAACTTTTCTGAAAAATACATTTGAATTTCATATTTACAAAATACAAAAACCACCTCCTATAATCCGTGAACAAAAACGTTGCTCTGCTGCCAACTAATGAGTGTCAGTCTTTTGTGGTCATTAATTATTCTTGGCAGGCTATTTGGTCATCCGTCATACACAATTTAAGCCTTTTGGGTTTGGATTTCACGAGATAAAAACTCAGAGGTAGAAGCGAACAAGAAACTTACCAGTCTAACTTTGAATTAACATCCAAGGAAAATGTTGACTCAATGGGAGTCATGGCCTCGAGAGCAGTCTGTTTATAGACAAAAACCAACTTCAAAGTCCTGCTGCAGAGACTATCAAGTTTTACAAATTCTATTGAATTGATAATATAATGATACAACAATTCTGAGATTGACACAAGAAGTTGCAGATTAATTAAGGTGCTCAGGGCTTACCTTTTCAGTCAAATCTAGAGCTCCACTGATAATTGTTGTCTCATCATGCGTGAGTTCACCCCCTTTCCCTGCCTAAAGAACAAAATTCAACATTTATACATTTATCTTTCAGATTTACATCAGTAATATTTGGGCAGCTTCAACAATATTGACTTATTGGCTCCTTATTAGAATTTGATTGATGGAGATAGTGTTTCTTGCCTTACCTCCTGACTGTGGATGGAGACAAGAGCTTTTAACTGGGCACGCCTAAATAAAGCCTGATTATGTCCCAATAAGAAATCCAGGATCTGAAATATATGTCAGTGAGAGAGAAAAACCATTTGGGGCGTGATTAAAATAAAATTCATTGTTCTTATCGTGAGAGTAAGAGGAGCTCTTCCCTCCCAGGGAAGGGAGAAAACTGTAAAGGAGTTTTCTCCATAGTGTTTATATCGGATATAGATATCAACATGAAGTGAGAAGAGTGGAACATATAACTTTGAGTCCGATTAAGAGAGGTAGAGGAAGGCCTAAGAGAACACTCTTGGAAGTTGTTGAACGCGATCTCTTAATTAATAATATTCCTAAAAGCTTGATAAACGATAGAGCACAATGGCGTCTTGCAATCCATGTAGCTGACCCCACCTAGTGGGATAAAGGTTTATTGTTGCTGTTGTTGTTGTATAGATATCAACATGAAGCAAAATTATGAAAGACCTTAACTTGTATGCATATGATGGATCTTCATGACATATTTGCATCTTCAGGTTTCATGACAATATGTTGAGACTATGTAGTTACATTACACTGCCACATTAATTATCCAAAAGACTGGTTCTTTAATATCTTAAGGAAAAATCACCTTTCCAATGGGATAAGCGATGGGATAACAGATTATCATTAAAATTCGCACAAGCCATATGACATTTGCACCGACAGCAAGACCATATCGAGTACAGATTGCTTGTGGGATAACCTGAAATCAAAGAGCCAAGGTTGGTAGCAAATGAAAAAAGTAAGTGGGGAAAAAAAACTTTACAATTCATTTAGTGGAAACATTAAAGTTAAACCACAAAATCATGAAAGATGACAGGATCACATACCTCTCCAAAAACCAGAACAAAGGTGACTGAGAGTATGATAGCAACGTATTCATTAAATATTCTATCTAGGTATATTGGAAGGGCCTGCAGATTACAGGTGTCAAAGCTTTCACGTGCTTAAAAATTAGGTAGAATATATACATCAGAAATAAATGCACAATAAATTACTCAGCAATACCTATCTGACATCTGTAAAGCAAATTCAAGCATTAAAGCAGCCGAAAATCTATGCTATTTTCAAACATTATTTTGCAAACGCCCAACTCAATGTGATCATGTAAACCGTTCCTAAACTTACTATTCTTTCAAGAGCCAAGAAGTCAATAACTATTTGCATTAAAAGCAAAGACCTGTCGATATCAATCGAATTATATGCCGTAACAAAGAAACACAGATCTAAATCATGAGCACAATAAATTGCGCAAGACAGATGCTAAACTGCCGAGTTCTAATATCATTTCATGCTTAACAACCTCTCCAAACATCTAAAACACGGGCCATCATGAAACCATAACACTGTAATCGAATTACCTCCATGGCGGCAGCATTGCAAAGCAGCAGAGTTACAAGAAGCTGGTGTTGTTTTTGAACCACCGGAAGTATCGTGGCTAAGTATATTGAAAGGAAAGACAATACAAGAAAATCAACAAATTTTTACATTGCATTGATCTGGACAATCATAAAATTTGAAAGAGAAACCATATTGAAAAGGAAAAAAAAAAAACACACCAAGCATTGGAAGCAAATGACCGACCTGCTTGCATTTTCTCAGTGGGAGTACCGCTGCGTTGAAGAATCTCGAGGTCAACGACGCTGAGACACATAAGACCGAGGGTGAGGCCGGACATGATGCCGGCGAAGAGAACGAGAAAACAGGAGAAACCGGCGTAGATGAACCACCAGAGGGATCCAAAGGATATGGATTTGGCGTCGTGCTCAATTACCGCATTCATCACATGCATCGTGTCGTTCGTTTGTTGGATTGTCTTCTTCTTCTTCGTCGTCTTGATCTCGAGGGCTGTGAGGAGAAGTTAGAGAAGCATGTGTGGTGATTGGCTTTGGATTAGCGGCACCATAATTACAGGAACAGAACAGGAAGCAAGGGGTGGGATCATGTTTCGCATCGATCAAACACGTCGCATCACATTACTCTCATCGTTACGTACGGAGAGCCTTATGGACTGTTGTTGCCAATCCGCCTCAAATTCGGACTTTTTGTTTACTTCTCCAATCCAAAAATATAAGCAGTTTCAAGTTTGTTCGAAGAAAAATTTTAATATTAATAAAATTCTTATTCTTATAAAAATATATATTATTATTTTTAGTTTCAATCATAAAAGCACCTCATGATAATTGAAAAATAATTTTATGCAAAAAATTAGATTAACAAATACAAAAAATAAAATGGTAATAAAAATTTATATATATTAAATTGTTTATATTTTAAATTAAAATTATCTAAGAGAAAACATTAATATTTTAAATCAAATGAAGTATATCATATACTCTAACTTTTTAAATGTATGCTTCTTCCGGTATTACTGTGCAAAATTTTTTTAGTTTTATTTTTACTAGATTCTAAATAAAAAGTTCAATTTATAAGTATTTTTTAGAGATTCAATATCTCAAAATATATGATACTTTGACAAAAATAAGTGTTTATTAATGATATCTTTTTAATATTACTCTTATTATATATTCTCTCTCTTTAATATTCTTTCACTATTAAATAAAAGGAAATTTTTAAAAGTTTATAATATTTTTATTTTGAAAAAACAATATTATAAAATGTATTTAATAAACTACATTAGTATATGTAATTTTATTTAAAAGTATCTTATAAATTGAGATTGAGGTAGTAATAATTACTCTTCTGATCTTATTTATAAAGTAGAGAGAGTATTTATTTTTATCATATTTATAAGACATCTCAATAATTATTTTGTCTATTTTTATCTTTTTACTCCTATTAAATGTTGTTAAAGCTATTAGATACTAGAGTATTTTGTTTTTTTAAAAAATATATATTTAACATAAGTAAAATTGAAAACTTACTTAATTTTTATACACTTTAATAAATTTTAAGGTTTTCCTTAATTATGATATAAATGGTAGAAGTGATTTATGAATAGGATTAAGAGAGTATTTTTTAAAATATTATCTCTCATTAATTGGATCCAATTGTAATTTTTAGATATATTTCATCATGGTCATTAATTTTAATGAAAAGTAAACTGAAAAGTTCAATATTTCCTCTGTTCAAATTTATAAAATAAATTTAAATCAAATTACGTAATAGAGACATTGATATATGATAAAATCCAATTCTATGAATTGGGAATTCTTAAAAATTGTACTTATAACATAACAAACACACTATTTATCCCTCATTTGGTTTAGTATGATGAAAATAATTTTAATAAAAATAAAAATGAATATGAAAATGAAAATGAATACGAGATTTAAAAATATGTTTGCTATGTCTTTGAAATCTTAGCATAATTTTTATCAAAAATACATATTCATAATATTGAAAGATCAAAATACTCTTACTAAAAAAGCCCTATTTGACCAACACAACTAACCTTATCCATATTACTTTTGAAAGAACCACCACCGGAACAAGAATCTATATTCAACAATCAACTATCAACAAAATATGCTATTGAAGCAACAAATCAAGATCCAACAACTAAGAAACTGAAGACAAAGATCGAGAGGGAGAGGGAGATCCAAATTCAACACTTCACTTTGCAACAATCAAGAAATCAAAGAGGAAGACAGAGAGGGAGAGGAAAATCATGAGGGAGATCCAGATTCAACATTTTCTCTACAACAATCAAGAAATCGAAGATGAAGATCCTATAAAATCTCACTCCACTAAACACAATTAACTAATATAACTCATGGTAATCAAAGGATTAACTCAAAGAGTGATTACCAAGGTTTAATTCAAAAGCAAGAGATCTCAAGTTTTTCATAATCACAAAGAGTTTAAAACGATTAAGATCTCTTGTATCAGAGTAACAATAAATTACAGAAGCATGAGATATCTCAGAGGAGAGAAAGAAATTGAAAACAAGTGAAAAACAATTTTTGTAATGTGTAACAGAGCAATATGTTGTGGCTCGTGCATGCTGCGCCGTGGTGTGTTACTTTTTATGCCACGCACCATAGCTCAAGCGCCATGCGCTGTGGCATGTTGCACGTAAAAATCTACAGTTTTTGTTTTCATTTGACATCAAAATCAATAAACTTTTAATGTATCCCAATTCTCCATCTGACGTTTGAATGACGTGATATAAGTGTCTACAGAAAGATTTTTATATGAACTAGCTAATGACATAAGTTTCACTTCCAAAATAAGTTACACTAGGAAGTTAGATATCCAAAAACATTTTAATCACTTTTCACAGCTTTTACACAAAAAGGTGTCCAAAACCCTTAACAAGTGTCAAGAGCCTTTTCTAACACCTAGATCATGTTTATTAAACTTAAGACTACTAGTATAACACGTCACATGCACTTAAACAATTGTAGAACAAAATTTTACTCCTCAACCCCTTTTTACCAAAAATAATGGGGGAGGCAATTTTCTATTGCATTGCACCCAAATCAATCAAAACATGTTCAAATTTTTATTTTTATACTTGCATGAGTATGTTGGCCCTATTAACATATATATATCTCAACATACACAAATACTCAAGGCCTAAAATACAAATAAGACATTTGCAGTAATAAAATAGTGCAAGTATGATGCCATGCAACCTAAAATTGGCAAATTATATGCTATTACACAAAATAAATCTAAGCTAGAGGCATATAATAGGAATGTGCTAATTTCTAGCCTCTTGAGTCTTCTCCCTCTCAGCACCAAAGCTAGAGCTTAAAAAGTGTTAAATGAAAGGGGTGAGTCTAGCCACTCAATAATCAAAGTAGAACCTACTTTATGTAGTTATATATCAGTTATAAACTAAGTACACACATATGAAACTAAGAACTCAAAACATACTCAGACACATCATAACTCATCATTACTCATCTTGTAACATCTTTATCTCATTTACACTAGATGCATTATCACATTACTCTTAAATATGTGACCATGACTCATTATTCACGCGACTTGCCACAACTCAACACGTGTAACATGTCATATATTTACATTGGTAATGATCAACCAACCTTATAGCCTCCTTATTTTCTCAGACTGAAATTATAGGCTATAATATTGAATAGGGTTCCATCCGTATAACTGGACTACCCAAGCTCACCAATCGTGAGGTATAACCTGGCCAAATATCACGTGACTCACTCTCAAACCACGGCTTTCTCCATTCTCGAATCTTTAGGGTGTCTCATACCCTAGGCTATTCTCCTCATTAAACTAGTGGAGAAAGTTATGTTCTAGTCCCTCGACAAACTATGGGACAATCTTTTGATAAATTATGAGACAAGGCTATATCCCTATACATCGGAGGGTAGCCTAAATATTATATAAATTTTTCTCTACTCCCAATCCCTAGGTGAACTCTAGCCCACTAATTATGCCATAAACAATGCTCACTTGTTTTCACATTCTCATTCATTCATTAACACCATAATCACATTAGGCTCATGACCATGCACTACCCAAGTGAGCATAGTTTCTCATTTTCAATTATGACACATAAACACCTCACTTTTAACCTCTTATATTCCTCTTTAACTTATTCATCATCAATCACTCATTTGTAACACATTGAAAAAGAAATATTTTTCAAGCACCACATTTACCACTTCGAAACTTATTTTGAAACTACTTTCTCATGTTTAATACACATCACATGATTTACACAAACACTAAATTTCAATGCATGTAACCCAATTTCACAAGACATAGTTCTCATAATACACACAATTTACATTATAATTAACATATAACTATTTAAAGCAGGGTTTATCTGGTTACCTCTAACTTTTGAGAGGTTAAAAGTTTACCCCTCAATGTTTTAGCTTCGAAGCTCGAATTTCCAAGCCAAATGGGTGACCAAGAGCTCAATCTACAATTTATCAAATTAAATTTCATTAATATTGCCCTCATCATTTACATTTGTTACATTTCAGCCTACCCATAGGGTTTATTATCTATCTAACATCATATAGCTTCATTAAATATCCACATTGCCATTAATACCTCAATAACCATAATAATGATATATTTAATAAAGCTTATCATCCAAAAAACACTAAAATCATTAATACTGGATTTAAATACTTTAAACAACTCTCATTAACTTTATTTGAGTCAATAGGTTCGGGCCCATATTCTATATGGACTGAAATCATCATCCTTATCCAACCTTAACTCAAATCTTTAAGAAAATAGAAGAGGAAAGGAGCAAAAGGTTTTAGGAGTCTTACTTTAGATGATTTAGAGCTTCCAACCTTCTCAAATCCTTCCCTAGATAGTGCCCTAGCAAAGAAATTATGAGTTTCCTCTGTTTCCTTTCTCTTCCTTTCTATTTTTTGCATTAGAATGCAACTTAATTTTGTAGAATTTGCACCGTGACATGTAATACAGAGAAGGTAGCTCTCGCCTAATGGCCTTGTGCATCGCGGCACACTGTGTACGCATCGTGACATGTGGCACAAAGGCCTTTTGACTTGTTTTTCTCCACTTTTTAGTCCTCTAGTGACCTAATTTTACTTTGGACTTATATTATACCTGAAATTTTAATTAAAAACACTTATTATTCTCCTTTAACCATGCATCACATCAACCTACTTAATTATCCTTATTAATTTTAGTAAATTAGGGAATTAAAAATTAAGATGTTATAACTTTCCCCTCCTTTTAAGAATTTTATTCCCAAAATTCATTTAATCTTGTAAAGTTAGTAAATCATACCTCATTGAAACAAGTGAGGGTACTGTTGTTTCATCTTCTCCTCAGTTTTCCATGTAGCATCACTAAAAGTCATCCTTTTCCATATGACTTTCACAAGCCAAATTGTCTTGTTTCTCAACTGTTTCTCTTTACTATCGACAATTTTCTTTGGCTCAACCCAATATGTTAAATTCTCACATAACTCTACATCCTTGGGCTCAATCACATGTGAAGGGTTGAGTTGGTATTTCTTCAATTGAGACACGTGGAATGCATCATGCACACCTGACAAGTAAAGAGGTAAGGCAATCCAATATGCCAA